GAAAAATAGAGATTATTCATTTACCATGCCCATGGAAGAATTAAACCCTTGGCCCAGATGTGACCCAAATTCCTCCAACCTGCTCTTGAAAGCTTCTTAATATCTGAGGTAAATAACCTTTGCTGCAGAGTAAGATGATTATTTTTACTCCTCATGTCAAATAAAGAACAGCTTTCTCTAAAAGTCATTTATATATTTGAAGGCTATTATGTTTCCTTCAGTATTTTATTTTTTCTCTTTCTTGACTAACCAAACCAAATTCCTTCGGCTTCTTCTAATAATTTAGATTTTCTAAACATCGGTTATTTAAAATGTCTCCATATATATTGCAAACTTTCTAAGGCATGGTCTGCAAAAGCAGACATGATATTCCACCTAGTATCTCAAAAGTACCAAGCACAGGAGTGTAACTCATTCTTCTGACTTCCATGAAACTGCTCTGTCACCATACCCAGACAGTTTGCCCGATTTGGTAACAGCATGACACTACTTGCACATTTTTGGCCTATGGTCCATCTTGCCTGGTCCTTATTTCTCACTTTGATCATTAAATGTTTCCTTGCCAAGCATGGTATGTCCCTCTCAATGGTTTCTGTATCTCTTCTTGTTGATTTCAGAGAACTCTCCATCATTTGCATGTCAAATCCCATTCTTCAAAAGAATTCCAGCTCTTCCTACATAGGAACCATTCACAAATTATGCAGTATGTTCTCTCGCAGCCATCAAAGTTATTAATTAAAATTTTGCATAGAAACAGAAATAGGGTGGATCCCAAAAGTATTTCCTTTGAAATGTATCCTGTTTGGTGAGTGAACTGAACCACTGATTCATTCTGATACTGATTTTTTTTCCATATTCTTAACTTCATTTACTTATTTTACTTGCAACAATGACATGAGAATCAAGATATATCATGTCTTCTCATGCTACCTTGTCTATTGATATGATTACCCTGTCAAAACTAGAAAACAGATTGGGTTGCTCCTGACAAATACATGTTGGCTGGTTCCCATTACATTGGTATTTTGTTGGTTTAAACAATGTAGTTTTAAATAATTTATTCTATTTAAATTAGATTATTTAAATTCCTTATTCTACTATCATTGCATAAATCTAAGTTAGACTAGCTTCTTTTTGGTGTCCTTTTTCTCTTTTGAAAACAAGTATTATTTTTGCTTTTCTTCCTTGCTGGAGATCTTACATATAATCTGTTAGTTCACAGTAGCTTAAGATTAATTTAGTGATTTCTTAACTATTTGTGTAACCTAATTTATCTAAATATTCTTTAAGATGTTATTTTGCTTTTATAGTCCAAAATCCTGTCCTCTGGTTAAAACTCTACTAACTTGTTGATGACTACTATTAACTTTTTGTAAAGACTGAAGAAAGATGCAGCTTTCCCTCTCATCTGTTATTTGCTCTTCTTTTTCATTTTTCTCTTGCTTTGTATAAAGTTATAAAACCTCATCCTAGTTCTAATTCATGTTATGCTGTAGATATCCTGACCTTGGTTCTTCACACCATGCCATTATTGATAGTCATTATTTTTGATGATTTCTTTTCAATTTCTATATCATTAAAGAGTTCCTTTCATACCAGACCTTGTTGTACTCTGTTGTCCACTGGGACATATTGGTTGTTGTGCCTTAACATTGCTTCTGTAAGGAAATGTAATTTTCTGACCACAGAGCCTTTTTGTTGGAAAAACTTAAAAAACTGTTAGAATATAATCCTGATTGATCCTTAGGAAAAATGGAATATAGGAGAACTGCCAGGTAGTGATGCTATACCTAAACTTTGTGTTATGCAGTAATAACCGAGGTTGCATGGAAATATGAAGTTTCTTTACAGTATAAAGAAAACATGTCATTGTGGCAGGGCAATGTTGTGCCCATTTTAATTGGCACAGCAGTGTGATGTAACTACAATGATATGATCTGATATTAACACTTGGTTTCTTCTCGTTCAGTCTCTCATTGAATTTTACCATAAACGCAGAACCTTACAGAGTAAAGAAACTCTCCTGGAGCTTTCATTTTGAACTTCTTTTTTTTTCCCAAGAGATTCTTCTACTTAGTAAACTTTAAGAATTATACTATTTGCAATTACACAGACCATTTTCTCAGACAGTGTAAATTAGAGGACTGTTCATGTTTATGACTCCCCTCACATTTTCTGTTAAATTACCACATGACTAAAAGATCACAGATTAAAGCAAAGTTGATTTTCACGTATTGGTATTAACACCAAGGAAAGACTTCTGATGCTCTTCACTCCCTTTTTTCCCACTTAGCTGAAGAGTCTGATCAGATATTTCACTAATATAAAATAATTTTACTGAATTAAGCCTTCATACGACAGGAAAATATGATGTCTTCACCCTTGCATTTGGAGGAAAGAAATTAAATATCTAAAGTAACAGAAAAAGCTTCTTCTTATCCCTTGCCTGCCTCAGAGTCCAAGAGCTCAGTATATAAAAGGCTCTATTAACACAGAACAAATTTTTCTATATAAAGGAAAAAGCCACCTTGACAGAGGTAAAGCCATGATAAAAAAGATCTAATCCTGCATTATGATTCAGAACAATTCCTTAGCCAAAATCAAAACATGAGTGCCAGTCCTCTTTCCATTACTGCAAGTTGCAGAAATCCTATTTATTTCAGTAATACAACAATGGCTTCATCATACTATCAATAAAAAATCCATCAGTATATGGCAAAGGGAACGATTTCTGTTGTTTAGTGATATTAAATCTCAAATAAAATTATGCTATGAATACACTCGAAAAGTGAGTATGATTTCTCTCTTTAGGCAGTGAAAACATTGTGGAGTGAGTTGAATACTCACAGTGCAAAGTTGTCCCGTTAAACAGAAAGTCAAGCATTTGAAAGCAGCACATTTTAAACTTTTGCTGATGTGCCTAGATTTGTTTCTTGTCAGCATAGGTTATTCCAATCAAGGAACTGGCAAAAAACCCCTTCATAATATATGCATACACAATAGGTGTTAAGTATACATAAAAATCATCACACTGGGCTTGATGCTCCTCTTCTGTAGCATTTCCTGCTACAAACATGGCTTTAGAACACCTGCAGAAATTTCTTGCCTCCTTTCACAGATTCCTGAAAATTGAGAACACATGCTTACCCAAACTGTAGTATATGTGTGCTATACTAGTATTATGTTATATACTAATATATTGCAACATATTATTTGAAGCTTTATAATGTATCTGAACCACAATTTCAGCAATAATAAGGAAACACGATCATTACTATGGTTCATTCACAATTTGTGACAGTAAAGACTTTAACAGAAATAACTTTGTAATTTGCAGCCATATTACAGAGCTGAAAGGGCTGCAGTCAATAACAGCACAGTTCTACCTGCTGCCCAAGTGTCCTTCTGGATTCCTCAGTGATTCTAGCTTCTCGCATAGCAGCCATGCAAACAGGACTTTCAGTTTGCTCTGGATGGGAAGGTCTATAGTTCTGCATCTGCAGCAGTAACCTCAGCCCAACTACTCTGCTTTTCTTTAGACTGTTCACAAGTACTTGTGGGGCACAGACTCTTTTAAATTGGACAACTTCTGAACATTTCTGCATAGTGTTATCAACAAATCTGGCTTGTCCTTCACTTATTTACCCTGGATTTCCAGAAAATCACAAATGACCTTTGGGTTCACAATGATTGTTACTCTGTCTGGGCAAAGGATGTGAAAACCCAACAATAAGGACTGTTAGCTATTGGTCATGTTTCTTAAAACATGACTGAAAAGTTTTCAGATGGTGTAGGTGGTTCCCAGCCCCGTAACCTGATGTAGCAATGAAAATAATGTAAACTCAAATTTCCATCAAATGCCAAATGGACCTGGACTTGAAAAGTAAAGTCCTTCAGGGCTTAAAGGAAGGTCACATAAGACAGGGAGAAGAGACTGTGCCAAGATACTCACTGACTTCAAGAGATGTGAGATATTAAAATTTCACTTTGATTTAACAAGGCTTAGACATCTTCATATTCCTTTGGTTGAGAAAGGGAAAATCAAATTTGCTGAGCCCTGTAATTTGTTTCATTTACAGTGCTGTCCAACTTGTAATCAATATAAGCTTAATACCAAACTTTTAAAAGGTGGTTGAGTAATTTCAAGACTCTTAAAAAACAGGAACCCTCAAAATTTAAAAGAGAAAAACGTAAAGGCTAAAGATACCATTCAGCATTTGCTTTAATAGTGGTCAAAGACAGGTAGTTCCTCCATTGTTAAGTTAGGATGAAAAGGGCAACTAAACAAAAAAGAAAAATCTTACAAGAAATGAAATCTGAGGTTATTTAATGAACGTTTTATGGAGGCAATTCCACTGAAATGATCACTTCTGCTTGCTTTGTCATGAGCTCCTTGTTCTTCCTCCTCCCTGCTTTTGCTGAAACATGTCTCTCTGCAGTGAACCAACAGGTAACTGATTCAGCTAAAAGCAACCTTTCTTTTTTGCTGTGTTACTCTCCAACTGGATCAGTGCCATGGTCATCCTTATTCGTAAACACAAAAATGATTGTGGTGGCTGACAAATCATGGAATGTGGGAGTAAATGCAGTGTTTGTAAAAAAGCAGAAGGATTTAATATTGAGCTTTGAATACACTTAGTGTTCCTAAGCAAGCTTTGTTATATCTTCTTCCTGATAGAGCCAATATTTCAAATTTCTGCCATGTGATAAGGCACAAACAAGTCTCTCCTCTTCTGTTTTTCACATTCTAGTTCAGCTGTGCTTGGACTAGAAAAAAACTTGGCTCACATCTCTGTTACTTACCCATTTTGGAGTTTTTCACTGAGTTTGCCATTATACACATTTCTTGTGCTAATACAGATTTATCTGGTCTAAAGAACCCCAAATATTCTGTTGGACACTGAAAAAATCTGAAATCTAGGAGAGACTGCAATGCCAGCTGAAGTGATTTAGACTTTCTAAAGGTCTGACCTAGAGACGCGGCAACACATAGAACTTACCAACAATGAACAGAACAGCATTGAAGCATTCACTTCTGTAAGGCAGACACAAGTTATGGCATACCGTTGCTTCATGGTCTCCAATTTCATTCTGATTCCACCAATGGGAAACAGTAGTCACAACCCAGTTTATAGACTTGAGAATTGATGTGAAGGTATTTGCCATTTCCTCACCTTGAAGAAACAAGTAGAAAGGAAAGACATTCGGTGTCTGTACAAAAGAAAATGTATTCCTGACATATGCCATGATGTATACCCTTGACTGGCCTAATAGCTTGAAATTCTCCACCCATTTTAAAGGAGATACATTCGCAATGAAATCCAGGTTATTTTTTATCATCACAGTACAATGAGCACAGACTGCTCTCTTCTGTTTAGCAGGCTCTCTGCTGCGTGACAGGAGGTGCTCAAGTGAGATTGCTAGAGAACATTTACCTTGGCCTTCCCACCACATATTGAATAAAAAATATTTATGGTAATGATGCTACTGCAATCCTGCTTGTAACAGACTCAAAATGGTAAGTGAAGGCATCATGTAGTGGGAGAAATGCTCATAGACAAACTAGACTGCTAAGTAATTAAGTCACTATTAGACCAAACCATTAAATCTACTGTTTGCTGTTCTAACTGCTGCTAATTGCTGTCACCATGACAACAGTGGACTTTCTTTTTCTGATATCTCCATGTAGTTTCCTTTTCATAATGAAGCCTGCCACAAAATTCACATCTTCCCAACTTGAAATACTTGTGTTGAAATAAAGACAGGCATTTTTACATAAGAACAACTTTAATGTCAGCAGTAAAATGGATCTTATCTAAATTTTTGATATTTTCCTCTGCAGAATTATCTGGATTTTAACACAATGTGCATTTTTAAAGTAAATTACTAATTTAAAAAAGCTTGCCTTCTCACTTGCATAAAAAAAAATTTGTAGTTCAGTTTAGTCAGGGAGGTAAATGCATCAGGCTAGAGTAATACCCTATGCCTCGTGCAGACTTTAGTTTGCATCCTGTTTATGGCTACGCTTACATCAATATTAGCCTTGGTCAGAGCCCGGATTTTATCTCTAAATAATTTTTTCTTTAAAGCAAAATAATTATTTTGGAGCCTTTCAAATATTTGAGTTCTATATTTAGGTTACAGCCATCCTATAGCACCTATTGTGAAACCCTGTGTGGGTCCCTATGTTTAGTAAAGAGCCTCCCAGCCTCATCAATCTGTTATACCATTTGAATGGGAGATGAATCCCTGCTGAGCTGCAAATAGAAGTCTGCTCCGAACTGCTTGTCTAATATTAATTGTTGATACCGTCTCCCAGGAATGACGGAAAGATATCCATAGAAAAACTGGAGCTGTCTCAGTCCTTCTCATGTCTTACTTCAGCACCAGCTGAGAAGATGTTCTGTGAAACAGTGCCAGCACTTGGCTAATATTAATAATTTTCCAAGGAGAAAACACAGGAAGAGGACTACGTCGGAGCTCTGTCTGCGGGAGAACTCCAGGACTTTTTCTGAGTTTAGCTTTTGGAGGAAGAGCTCCTGTATAAACCAAGCAACAGCTACTAAATAGATTTTGTCTAATCCGACACCAGAGGCTGTTTCCCAGGGATGGCGGGGCAGAGGAGACCCCTGCAGGCAGACTCCTGTCCAGCGCCATGGCACCACGCTTGGTAATTGTGTTTCACATTCTGGCCACGGACACCAGAATAGATTGCCAGCAGCCTCTGCAGGCCAAAGCCCATGAGCCAAGACTGAGCTTAAATTACAGTTTTCACAAAGCCCAAAGTCTGTACTATTGGTAAAAATTCAATGTGCTGGTTCTTTGTGTGTGCTTTATTTGTTCATATTGTAAACATTGTGAAATCTGCCAAGACCTTCTAGGAATATATTTCCCAGCATTGAGACTGTGATAAACTGGGAAAAGTATATGGTAAAGTTTGAATGACACACAAAAAGTTAGTGTGATTAGTCCAACCTTTAGTACCTTTTCTCTTTCCCAAATGTTCCTGTGCTGTAGACGGGAGAGCACACATATGTGTTGCTTGAAAGGATTGCAGGTCCTCGAAGATATTTAGAAGTCTAGCCTAAACATATAGAAATGATGGGTTAATGCCCAGACCAACCAGCATGTATCCACTTGTGGTGCAGGTGATGAAGCTAGTTCAGAGGCTTCCCTCCCACTATTTAGATATTCTCAAGCCTTTGAGGAATTAAAAACTGTCACATATAGTTGTTTGTCCCTAAGCACTCTGTGTCAAGATACTTGCTTCAAATTGGCCACACACAATACAAATTGTAAGAGTTTAATAAGATTTCAAATTTCAGAATTATCATATCAATACTCAACATTAGCATCCACTCACGACATCTTGATAAATTTGGCTCCAATTTAGCGCTTCATTTTTTTATTCAATTTGACCTACTGAATACTGGGAAAAGTCAAATTCTCATCATATAGCTATGCATGGTGGACCAAAGTAGGAAGCAAATTTGATGGTCAGTCTGGCCATTTTGATGCTCAAATATTTATCTGCCACAGCTATTATTTGATACAAAAAGAGAGAACATACTTAGACTGTCATTAGAAATGTGATAAACAACCCCTCTCACCAAAATGAGCTGCCTGGTTCCTGCTCTGAAATGAACTGCTGCATCTTTGGCCATGCCTTGTGCTGTGCGCCATTGAGGTAAGGAGCAATTTTCTCCTATACACTATGAACATGGACCCTCTTGAGATAACTTGCCTCATTCTCCATCATAACCAAGGCTAGGCTCGTTCACTGAAGGCAGCGCAACCGCCCTAGAAACAGAGAAGGGAGAAAACCAAGCACTGAAACTCTTGTTAAAAGTACATTTCCTTAACTTAAGCAGTATGACACTGTTTATTTAGGAGATAGTATTTCCAAATACTATGTTGCCATCATGCTGAGGCTTTTAAAGGAAGAAAAGTCATCTGTTCTATGTTTTTATATAATGTATTATTTTCTTATATAAATCTGAAAGGAATTTTGACCTATCCCACAAGGTTTATTAACTTGCTTATATCATACTTCAGAAGCTTTTAAATTTTGCTTCATAAAGTCTTGCAGACATTTTCAGTCCACCCTTGAAAAAGATATTTTCTAACAAGTCCTTTGTTTACCTCTTTCAAAATGCCGCCTGAAAATGATGATGAATACCAAAAGATGCTCAGAGTCTGAAACAAAACTCCAAGATGTATCATTTATCCTCTATTTCATCCAGCACCCAGAAAGTTCCATACCTACAGACTTCCCACTGCCCAATTCACAGACACAGTATGCTACTGAGAACAAAAATCTTACCAGCTTTACAAACATCCGTTTTTTCAGCTGTTCTGTACAGGCATGGTACACAGATATTAGCAATGCCCCCAGGAAAAACCTGTGATATTAAGAATAGCTTATTGCATCCTAAGTAATTTTCAATTTAATGTAAAGTTTTGTACAGAAAAGCTGTACAAACTGTGAGCTTCACTGAATATATACTGGCCATACCAGGATTTCCATTAATTTATTGATTATTTGGGCCACCAAGATAGACTGGTCCCGCTCCACTTGCGTGATGCAATCAACTCTATGCAGAATAAGTTCTCCTCTGAGGCAAAGATATTGATGACAGAATCTCACCCAAGATCTCTGCACTGTAGGCTGGCCATTAATCTGACTCCTGATACAGTCCTTATTTGGTGCTTGTTTTCAAACCCATGCACATTTTAAATTATATCAACTCAGAAGATTACTGTTCTGCATTTTCCTAGGCAATTATATCACAGAGGAACACTAGGGCAGACTAAGTCCAAATTCAATCCTGCAGTAGCAGCAAGAAACTAACTCTGGAGGAGGTATGGTTACGTCATTTATTAATTGGAAAAGCTGTAGCCCTTGGTGTCTTCTGTCATATCAGATATTCACTCCCCATCACCGGGAAATTGCCTAGATCAAAGTGATGGCAAGTATTGGACTGGGATGAAGAAATTCTTTGGAAGATCATCACTGTCCTCTCCGTTATATGTGTTGCTAAAAAACAGCCGCTTTAGAAACACAGGTAATAAAAAAAATACAAGGTATTTGAGTTCCCCTGGTTTAGTCTCTCCTGCATGGCGATGCATATATTTTTAGCTTCTAGTGAGGTTTAAAGCCATCACCTTGCAAGTACTTACACAAGTGCTTAACTCTGTGTGTGCAAACAATATCTCTGACTGACTCCAGTGTGGATATTCCAGGCACAGAGTTCACCACATGCATTAGTGAGTACAAGACCGACTCTCTAAGGCAGAAAAATTTTTTTTAATTGTTCTTCATTATAACCCAGCTTTGCTGTAGAAGCTAGTTTTTAAAAAGTGCCTTCAGAAAGACCCTAGTTGAAATAGCTGAAGTGCTCTACTGGGGATCTTTTCAAGAGGAAGCTGATGTACTATCAAATATACAGGGAAAGACAGAAGAAGACTAGAGAAGGAAAAGGAAATTGCTCTTTGGAAGAGCTGCAACACCATTTCAAAGCTTTGCTATTGCTTCATTTGACAAGAGGAAATAATAACCGGTGAATTGATGTAAGATCACAGCAGTGAAGAGCACAGAGCTGTTTCTGTTTAACTCTAGGCCTAGACTTGGGATAGCTCACTTAGAGAGATGGACAGCCTGGGATTTGTTATTAGCTTGAGATATACTTCACTACCAAGAAAAGAAAGAAGATGCATATAAAAGCACAAGAGAAACCACACAGTAAGACACCCTTTCAAACTAAGACACAAAAATGTTTAAATGAGTAGTATGTACTACTGCAAAGGGAGCAAAACAGATGTTGCAGGAGACATGACTAAATCCTACCTAGAATTACAAATGATGCAGTATCTTTTGTTTAAAAGGGTAGCTCCAAGAGTGGAGTCAGCGGTCTGGACTCTGAAATTTAATAGTCCAACTCTGCAAGGCATTATTAAAATGAATTTTCCATAAGGTTCTTCTAAGAAAGTAACCCTCTCTGGGAGAGGCTGGAGGGCTGGTTCCTGGTAACCACCAGCAGTGATGCTATGGACGTGTCTGCCTAGAGAAGTCCAATGAATATCTACCTCCTATGCTTACCAAGCCATAAACCACAAAATGCTCAACAGCTCGCCATTCAATGCTTTTAGTACAACAGACTGAAACCCAGATAAAATAGAGTGCAGCAGAGGAAGAGAGAAGAGAGATGTTTGAGGGCACAGACATTAGGATTAGTAAATAAAAAATGTCCTGACAATCCTAGGAAGCTGGTTACGACCCACATCACAAAAGCAAGCAAAAAACCCAAAATTAAAATTAAAAAGCAAACAAGGATGCTCACCAATCTCTCCTGGGAGAAAATAATTTCTGGATGATTGACTTAGGTTCAAACATATGATTTATACATGCCAGTCTGAACCTCAAAGACTTTGCAGTTTCTCTATCATCCCCAGCATCCTTTCTCTAGTCATGGGGAAAGATATAAAATAACCTGGAAAGCAAGCTATGCTCTGGAAAAAGAACATTTTCTACCCAATAGAAAATTGGATATTTGCTGCTGCAAATGTCACACAGTGGCATTTTACATTGCTGTTGTTTGTTTACTTGCATAAAAAAGGCTTTGGGGAATGCAGATTTTTTTTTTTTTGAGCACACTCACCGCTACCTTTATGCAAATTAAAAAAAGGAAAAGCAAAGCTTTTCATTCAGGACTGGCTGCAAAGCAAAGTGAACAGGTAAAGAGCTGCAGTTCAGTCTGACTGTCTGTCACCTAATTTAAGCTAAATTTGACACAACTTGATTGAAAGTGAAATTAAATTAGAGTTTAAAAGCCATTAAAACTTCCAAGTTCATAAATGATTATTAACTTCCTGAATACTGTGAAGGCTCTGACTGTTCACATGGGATGTGAGCCTTGTGCAGGCTATGCCTGACACTTCAGGAAGCCCTGACACCCCCCAGCATCACTCTCTAGGGGTGGCCAGAGGCAGATGGTGGAGGGAGCTTTGGTTTCCGCATCCACAACCGGAGCTCATCTGGCTGTGGCATGATGTGTTATTAGTGCCTTAAATTTATCTCTGAATTTAAAAATAAATTGTTTGGGATTGTTCTGTTTTCAGCTGGGATAGAGTTAATTTTCTTTCCAGTACCCGGTTCCATGCTGTGTTTTAGATTTAGTATGACAATAATGTTGATAACATACAGATTTTTAATTGTTTCTAAGCAGTACTCACTCTTGGTCAAGAAATTTTCAGTTTCCAATGCTCTGCCAGAGAGCAGGTGCACAAGAAGCTGTGAGAGAGCATGTCGAGGATAACTGACCTCAATGGTCAAAGGGATATCCCATATTATAGAATGTCATGCCTAGTATGTAAAGAGGGTGGAACTGGTCAGTAGGGGCTGGGCATCAGTCATCAGGTGGTGCATCACCTGTGTTTCTTGGGTTTTTTTCTTCCGATCTATCTATCTATCTATCTATCTGTCTATCTATCTATCTATCTGTAATTACCACCACCGCTACTATTATTACTATTACTAATTATGAATAAAATTATTATTTTAAAAATTTCATACATTAAACTGTTATTATATCAACCTATGAGTTTTCTTGCTTTTACCCCTCAAATTCTCTTCCCTCCATGCTGCTGGTAGAGTGGAGTGAGGGAACAGCTGTGGGCCAGTTAGTTTCCAGCTGAGATTAAACCAAAACAGGAAGAATAGGCTTTCTACTTCTACATGATGACATTCTTTGGGTAACACCCAATGATGTCTATTTAACTCAGCTGCTTTGTGGTTCAGCCTAATAGGAAGGAATTGGTAATAAGCTTGAATTAGTAATAAACTTGCTTTAGACAGTCTTCTAGAAGGATGTGTCATCAGAGAGCTCCCAAATGGAATGAGTAATTCCTGATTTAAAAAAAAAGCCTATTCTTTCCCTCTACCCCTTAGCACTTGCAGCTGTGGAGGCAGCTGGAGGACCAGGCTGCCCAGGGCTGCACAGTGGCTCCTGACGAACTCTTGCCAGCTCTACCAAGGCCCTTATGGCCCCTCCAGAGCCCTGTGCACATGGGACAAACCATGGAAGGGTTGACAGGAGCACAGTGGAAATGGGGCTGACTCAGAGTCATGTCTCAGCACCACTGAGTCCTCCCTGGTGCCAGCTGGAGAGACACAAATGGAGCTGCCAGGCTGAGTTGGGCTTCCTAAGGAACAAGATTAGTTCAAGTCTTACAGTAATTAGTGCCAGCAAATGACATAACAGCAGCCCTATCACAGCTGAAAATCCAAACCAGCAACACGCTATTTCCAATACCTATGAAAGAGAAGGTGGTGTTTTTCTCCCCTCAGTTAAATGAGTATTTTTGTGATGACACATTTGGAAAACTCAATCCTTCTCGCACTCTGTGCCCCCTACAACATCATCATTCCCATCTTATACACAGATATCATGTTGTGACTGCACACTGAAATAGCTTGCCTGCACAGTGCCAAATCTTTGCATGAAACACAGCAAATATTCTGCTGGACCTTGTTAGGGTCCCTTCAGAGATCTTCATCAAGTTTGTTCTTTCACCAGCAGCAGCAGCCACCATAGGAATACTCTGCCACTCAGACTATCAGCCACTATCCCTGCCAAGCAGATAAGAAAAACCTTAAAATCCTTGAAGGACAGTTCCCATGAAGTGTCAGCATTTGGGTAAGGACTGATTACCAGAAAGGGAAATGCAATATGGGGCACAGAGGGGCTATGAGAAAAT